GGTGCTATCACCCAAATTCTGCTCTCCTGGCTAAGTAGCCAGTCTGGGCAAAGTCTTGCCAAGACTCCTCAGGGTGTCTGGGAAACTGACCTGCAGAGTCCTGTGCCAGGTAAGAAATAAGGGAATACGTGACTTAACAGGAGACGCAGCCCTACAGGTGATTTCTCTTCTGTTTACATCAAAGCACTTTTTATGGCATGGCCATACTTGTCTTACCAAGGCACACTGTGGCCTCTGTAGAAACAGAACCAGGCCATTGCAGCACTTGGTCACCACCTGGAAGAAGGTCAAACATCATGGGAGCCAAAGCTGAGTGCTTGTGCGGACTGAAGTTACACACCCACTCCCCAGCAGCTTCCACAAATGCTTCTGTAGCACTTTCTACTATGGAGGAGCAGCTTTGAATGCTGTGCTGAAATGCCTACACTTCCACTGTAATATGGACAAACAACCTGTAAAAAACATAACAGCTCTCCCATCTTCACGGAAAAACTGGAAGAGCTAAAATTTAACTTCTGGATTGAAATCCCAGGAATTACAAAATTAGGAACTCTTCTGCAAGAAAAAAGTAAGGTAACACAGTGGCTTCATTTTTATTATGCTGGATAAATTCTGAAGAAATAATAAGAAGAGCGAATTGCTCCTATTTTCTAATTCACCTTTCTTCTCAGATATTTTGTTCAGAAGCCCAAACAAAACAGTCTTTGCTTAATTCTCAAGATGAATATATTCACATTTTGATAAAGTTCTCTTTTTTTGAATGCTATGAAAACAGGTGCAACTGTGAAGAGCTTTTAAATATTTTAAATTCTGTCCAGTATCTCCTTCTAATTCCAAATGAATGGGACATTTATAACACCAGAGAGTCTTAAATGTACAGTAACACCATAGTTTCTTTATAATGTGCCCAGGGAGCAAACTTCCTCATGAGACAGGTGACACATTTATATGAAATCTCTTAACATTTTCTAAAGGTGAAGGTTTTCTTGACTTTAACCCAAAACTCATTTTTTGTTAGAACTGCAGAGTCATCCAGGTTAGAAGGGACCTCCCCTGTAGGTACTGGAAGGCTGCTATTAGTTTTCTCTTCCCCAGGCTGAACAAGTGCAGCTTTCCTGGCATCTGTCTCCTCACAGGGCAAACGTTCCAGCTCCCAACTGCCTTGCTTGCCCTTCAAGGGACATATAAAAGTCGGTCAAGCTCCTCCTTCATTGGGAGCACCCAAACTAGGTACAGTATTCCAGATGAGGTCTACTGAATGCTGTGTAAAAGACAATAATCCCTTCCCTTGGTCTATTGACCATGCTGCAGCCCAGGGCACTGTTAGCCTTCATCCCTGCCAGGGCTCTTTGCTGGCTCATGCTTGGCCTGTTGGTCACCAGGGCACCTGGGTCCTTCCCACCAGAGTGCTCTCCAACCTGCCAGTGCCCAGCCCATAGAAATGCAGTGGGTTAGACCACACAAAGCACATTTGTCTGCTGACTTTGGTGAGATTTCTGTTTTCCCATTGATCTGGCCTATTGAGGTTACTCTGGATGACAGCCCTGTCTTGGTGTGTTGACTGTCTGCCTTAATTTGACATTGTCCACAAACTGGATGAGAGTGCACTCTCTCTCCTCCTCCAGACTATTGATATGGATATTAAACAGGACTGGTATCAAGACAGACTTCTAAAGAACTTCACTTGTAACCAGCTTCCGGGTAGAATATGAACCATTAAATCACTATCTTCTGGTTAGTTATTCTCTCATCTGATTGTCTCAACAAGGAAGCTGTGGGAGACTGTGCCAAAAACCTCCTATCCACTGCTCTCCCATCATCCATGGATCAAGGCAGGTGATCAGGTTGGTTAGGCATAATTTACCTTGTTAAATCCATGCTGCATTTTTCCAGTCACGTTTATCTCTTCTATATATCCAGAAATGGCTTCTAAGACAACTTGCTTTTGTGATTTTCCCAAAGTAAAGCTTCCCAGCCTATAGCTCCTTGGATTCTCCTTGCTCTTTCAGAAGGTGAGGTGCAACATTTTGGCTTTCTCAGACACTAGGTACCTCTCAGAATCTCCATGACCTTTCAAAGATAAAAAGTGGCATTTCAGTGATGTTGGCCAGCCCTCTGAGTATCTGGCCAGCTCCCCAGCCTTGCATGGGTTGGGATTCCTCAAGAGAAGATCCCTGACTCTGTCATTTTCCACTACTAACAGGTTCTCTTCTCATTAAGGCACAAAAAGGCTGGCAGACTTTGTTGGTGAAGACCAGAGCAAAGAAGGCTTTAAGTACCTAAGCCTTTTCTCTGTCTGTTGCCACTATGTCACCTTCTGCTTTCAGCAGAGGTCCCACCTCTTCCTTTTATATTCCTTCACTAACACCGTTGTGATAGAAGCTCCTCTTCTTGCCCTTGACATCCCTTGCTGGTTTAACCAACAGCTGAGCTTTGGCTTCCCAAGTGCCTGTAAGCCCAGGGAACACTTCTCTACCCCTGCCCTGTGTGATAATTCTGTGTTCAGAATAAACCCGATGACTAGAAAAGTCACAGCTGTCGAATGCATTCATCCCTCAGAAAGTTTCTGAATTTTTATTGCATTATGGGGCCATATCACTACTGCTTACATTCAGAAATACAGGCTTAAAAAGTTGAGATCTTTCATGTTGCAGTGGGTCAGCCAGCTACTGCGTAAGGCAGTGACAGGCAACGAGACAGAACAAAGAATAAACATCCTCAATGGATTTAAGCTTTCCCTGAAAAAAATATGACGGTGTAATCTGTTAGGAAAGCCTTTCCACCTCCAGCAGTCAGCACATCCACTGTTGACATTGCTACTCCCAGCTCCATGAAGGACTGCCCAATTCCTTGGCCGCTATTGCAGCCTTAGGGGCTGCAGTTGCACAATCATCTTTGCTTCAGAATAGAAGGGCTGATGACCCATATTGGATCAACCAGTCTAGTCACACTATTCCTCTGCTTATATGGCTACACTGGTGGGATCTTCTGGCTGGAAGTTAGTCCCAAGGCTTGGAGATCTGGGTTGTTGTTTTGTTCTGTGCTTGTACAGTGCCCACCAGAGCTCTGCAGCCTCCCGAGACTAGATGCATGGCTGGTGCTGCCAGGTCTCACAATACTGCCATTCATAGTGATAATAAACAGCAACTTAAAATCTGATTGGTAAGCACTTACATTGCTGTTGCCCTCAAAATATACAGACAGCAGCAAAGACAGTTAGTGAAGTTGTCTACACGAAGCATTTCTATGTATTTGCTGGCTTTGCTCACTGAGTCACAGCTGTGATTGTCCAGGTCTCTGTCTTATGAAATCTACTCTCCAATTTTTCATAAGGACTTCCATGGAGAAAACCAGCTGGGCAATAGTAATACCTGGGCTGAAGGAGGCAGAAATGAGAATGCTTTGCTCCA